CATCCTCAGTTAGGATGTCTGTGACTTACATTTTTGAGCTCATGAACATGAGCTGGAAGAGAGTTCTGCTAAAAACGATGCAGCCCAGGATATGGCAAACCATTGTTGGACAGATTTAGGTCTATTAAACAGAATTAAAGGAGACCTGAGAGAAATGAAACTTCATGTTATCTGTTTCTTGAGGTAACTGAAAAGAGGTTGACATTCTGCTTTACCTTAAATAAACCCAAGGAATAGAGAATTAATATGGACCACCAAAACCCACAACTGTAAACACAGTGGAAGATTATTTTTCGAGGAGTTCAGTCTTTATCTTTGAAAGTATCTAAGACACTGGTGGTACTCTTGATCTCTCTTATGATGTTCTTGTAGTCCAACTATCACTGTAGCTTTTCATATTTTACCAAAATTTTAAAGTTTTCAAATCTTGACAGGAAGTTGGCCCTGTGGGTCTTGGTATGTGGAGAGAGATGAAGGAGGTATTCTCCAATCCGGAAATTAATGTCTATTGCTTTGTTTTCTGCAGCTAGAGAAGACTGCACTCTGATCCAGCAGTTTTGTTTTGTTTTTTTCCAGTCCTACACTTCTATGTGCAAAATTTTGATAAAATGAAGAGATTTAGCCATCACCTTTAACTTACGCCAAAGTGTTATAGATAGGTCTGTTGAAAATAACTGTCCATGACTCAGTGAATATAATTGTGGCTGCTATGATTGAAGAATCATCATCCTTCAGAAGCTCTGGAAGACAAACCTCAATTAAGAGTGAATGAAGCTGGGTTTTGGAACTCAACAGCAAAGAGGCTTTGAGGGTTAGCGCATCAATGTGGCACAATAATTGTTTCACTGTGCTTATTATCTAGCTCCTAAAGAAAGCAAGAACAGTCAGCTGTTAAACAAGCAGTGATAAGCTGTCAGAGCAATTTTGTACACTAGAGAAGATACAATTCTCTACAATATTGCTCCTGGAGGAAAGTGAAGTTTCGGCCAGCTAGATGCTTTCTGAATAATAGTCCAGGGGCAAAGGGGAGATACTTTTTCTTTACATAGTTCCAGAAAATGAGAGGTTCCCACCCAAACTCTTCACAGTGATGTACCACAAGCTACTCCATGTCTTTGGTCTTCACAGGTGGAAGATAATCTCTACCTCTACCTGCTGTTTAGCTCAGGTTACAGTTACTTGTAATTTGATTTTATCAGTAAGTATCCGAAAGTATTCCTGATACTTTCAGTAAGTATCCCCAAAAGGGGATGGAGCCAGGCTCTTCTTGGTGGTACCAACCAATAGGACAAGAGGCAACGGGCAGAAACTGATATACAGGAAGTTCCACCTGAATATGAGTAATAACTTCTTTACTATGCAAGTGACCATGCACTGAAACATGTTGCCCAGAGAGGTTGTGGAGTCTGTCTCACTGGAGATATTCAAGAAACATCTGGACACAATCCTGTGCCATGTGCTCTGGGAGATTCTGCTTGAGCAGGCAGGTTGGGCCAGATGACCCACTGTGGTCCTTTCCAACTTTACCCATTCTGATTCTGTGATTTCCTGCAGCCAGTGTGACGAGCTGTGGTCTGAGAAGAGTGGCATTCCTCAAGCCAGGCTATGGTTGAATACTGGAAATTGAGGCTACTTGGTAACTAAAGGCTCATTCTCAATCTGTCTGCACCGAAATGCCTTGAGAACATGCAGCCACACAGGTAAAATGCAAAAATAGTAACTAGTAACCATGACTCTCTAAGCTGAGATTGTTAGCATTAACATAACGTGGATTATTTAAAAGTATGAACCTTTCTGAGGTATGAATGCTGCCTCTCTTTCGACCAAAGACTGATACACGTGTGGGCTTTATGCCTGCATTAAGAATCTTCTGTCCAAAAGAAACAAGGACTTTGTATGTGTAGACCTCAGCCCCGTAGCTACCCAGCACAGGGAATTTCTTATGGATCTTGAATGAGGAAAAGGCAATTTAAGGTGCTGGGATAGACCAGAAATTAACACCCTGTGGCAGCCCTTTTTGAAACTTTTGCCATTTGTAGAGGCAAGGACCAGGATTCTCTTTACTTCTTACAGAGCAGCAGAGTGATACCTTTGGAAGGCTGTTCTCCTCCTTAAGAAGCAGAAGCATGATCTTCCTTGGGCTTTGGGGGGGGCAGGCAGATTTGGCTGAAAACACACCCACCTTAAATCTTAAGCAACCCAGAAATTTCTGCCTGCAATGACTGTCTTTCTCTTACATGGCCTTCTGCAAGAATTATTGGTGTAATAAGTCCTGTAAAAAAAAAATTTGGTTTTATCCTATGAGACATGAAATAGGAAGCATGACCTTGCATTGACTTGAGTGTACTAAACTTTCCTACCTTCAAACTCATTTTTTCCTATTTTCATATATTTGTAAAAAATGAGTTAGTCTGTAAACATCTTCTTCGCCATAAGGGTTGTAAAACTGAGACTGATACCAACTTATTATCTGATGGTTCTGCTCTCTTACACACATCCTCTGGTTAACTGCATATATTCTTGAACTTAGAGGTAGGATTAAAAAAACCCAAATAATCAGTATTAACTACATGTGAGATCCTGGAAACAGAAAAGAGAGAAAAAAGGAAAAGGAAAGAAAGATTAACAAATGCTACACCTTACGAGAGTTTGATTTAACAAAAGTTTATACTTTTGTTTTCTTCTTCTGGAGTTAAAAAAAGAACTAACTTTTTAAGTACACAATTTAAAAACAGTGGTTTATGATTGACATGTTTTCAGTCAATTTCCTAAGGAGTTTTACAAAATCAAATACAATTCATACAGTTGCAGCAATTCAACAGTTACATGAAGATATTTATAGCGTAATGTTCTGTTATGCTCTTGACTTCCCAAAAACAGCTCTCTTTGACGACATAACTGATTTAAGTGTCATTTGTGAAATGTGTTGTACTCAGGTGCATACTTGTTCTAGGATTCTAGAAATATTCTTCTAAGAGGCTTTACAGGAGTAAATCAGGGGGTTAGATCTAAGGCCTCTTCTTAGTAAGAAAGCAGATGGCTGTTCCTCATTGCAAAGACAGCCCCATTTCCAAATTAGCCCAGTTGACAACAGCCTAACAAGAGGCAACAGAATCTATATCACACAATTTGTTATGTAAATGCTGATGTGCTGCTAAAACAACAATAGAAAAAAATACGTTTTGCTAGAGGTAAAAAATCAGCTCTCTTTCCTTCCGCTTCTTTGACTTAACAAAGAGACACACACTTAACTAATTGCTTTGGCAGGCCAGCAGGCTGCCTGTGCTTAATAATACCATTAGGAATTCCACAAGTTTTCAGCTTCTAACATTAAGAACCTTCAACACGTGCTTTTTAAAAGTGACCCTCAGAATTTTTTGTTTTCAAAAGATGCTTTTTCTCTCATATCCCACTATTTGCTGCATGAGGCACAACAATACACAAATATGCAATGTGCAGTCCAAATGGGGCACTTGTCTGTCCCAGGAAAACTAAATCCTTATCGAGTACTCTGCTAAAAAAATGACACTCAGAGCAACTCTGAGTTCACAAATAATACCTTCCCTATATTTCTGCTTCAGGCTTGTCACACACATCCACTTGAACTTGTTCAAAGCCCAGTGACTCTTCATTTTTCAGGTCTAAGTTGTGAACATGCATTAAAATTTCAGGTTCATACTTACAACAGAAAAGAAAGAATCTAAACACCAAATTGGGTCATATTTGCTCTTCTCCACACTTAATTAGATTCCTCCTTTTGGCTAGGGGAACACTCTTTCTAGATCTAGTAGTTCATAACAAACCAACAAGCTTTTGAAACAAGTAACAAGCATTTGAAAGATGGCTGGCTTTTATCTTGGAGTTCCTTTTTAAAAGAAAAAATTCACATAACAATTAAAGAAAAGATAATAATACTACCATAATCCAAATACTTTCCTCCTCTATTTGTTTTATGCAGTAGAAAATATAATTATCAGATTCCTACAAATGGCTGACATTTTGTTTAGATTGAAATAGGGCTGGTAACCAGAGATTTAAATGCAGAACCAGTAAGGATGTTAACATGGACAGTCTTAAGCTGCAGCTTCCCAAACATCTGCTTAGCAGCCTAACTTTCTGTAGTAAGAGATTCACTGAGTCACAAAGGAGCTACACATGAACACAGAGTCCTACAACATTGCCTGGACATCTGTTTGAACAGGGAAAGCTCAGCATCAGATCACTCCTGATGGCTTTTCTTCCCCTCCACTGTGCCTGAAGTCTCTGACAGAGTGAACATCCAATCCTTTTAGTCAAACGGGATATGTTACCAAATGCATCACTACTCTACAGCCTCAATATTACAGTATGGGGGTATATCTCCTTTCAGAGGAGAAAAAACCTGATGGTTCAAATTATCAAGCAGAGGTCATAAACCAAACAAACCCACGGCCATCATTAGCCAGTGTTCCCACCTCTAGACTGTAGTAGTATTTAGTCAGCTCACAATCCTTCTCCTTCTGCTATTGCTCTAATCTCAAAAGACAGCAGCCACCTTCAGGAAACAACTGCAGGTTTAGAAACGCAAAACAGTACCTCCAGACACACACATAGATGGGTAAGATGATTAGGACCAAAGAAGGGTGGAATCCAAGACAGAGTCCTGCCATTTCCACTCCATGTTCACTTGTAAAGGCAGCTCTGTGACCAACATACTTTGTGCTTGGCATGACTGTTTTTGTGGTTCTTTATAGGCACTAAATGTATATAATACACGATGCAAACCCTTGTACATAATTTCAGATTCCAATATTAAGGTTGACATGAAATTTTAGGAGGTGTGATGCTCACAGTAGTGCTGTGAAGTCTGTCTTGGATCAGTTTCTTCTCTCACAGCCTCCAGAAAAACTAAAGATGTGGTTGCTACAGGAATGCTAGTAGATTACATGATCTGGAATGACTGGCATTTCATAGCCTCATAGACCCCCCGCACCTTACAAAGGGACATGGCACTAAAAATATTGCAAGGAATAAGAAAAGGTTATGTTGATGACTGTGTTCATGGGAAAACAATTTGTGTACAAAGGTGAAAAAGCATCTTCTGATCAAAGTCTCTTTCATTCCCAGATCATCTTGTACACAGGGTCTCCAACTTGAATCGTTCCAGTTTTGTCAACAGCAAAGTATTTCCCAAAGAGAGGGCTGGTTTTGTAGATGTGTCGCTCGGATGGATCACAAAGGCGGTAACTGCAGAGAGAAAGCCCTTCTTTAGGATCAGTGGTAGCAAAACCTAAACATCAGAATATCAGTGATGAAAGAGAGGATATGAATAATGAAGACCTGTTTTGGTCACCATACTAGACTAAAAACTAAATAAATATTGTGGTTACGAGAATCAAACAGTTCAAATGAAGGAAAAAAAAGATTGACTGTATTTATGCATCTATGTCTAATACATATACAAAAATTTTTGTAAAAATAAAAGTCAAAGTAGCAAAGTTAGACCTTTAAATATCTCAAATACCTGTTACTCCAAGTATTCACCCTAGCAGAGAAGGAAGAGATATGAAATGTAAAGTTTACAAGAAGGAAGAGAGAACGTGAATTTTCTTAGCATATAGAATTGCAAAAAGTAGACTGGAAGCCAATATACACAGACCCTTACACTGCATGATTCTGTCCCACACACACTTCAAATCAGTTCTAAAATACTAGTCTAAAGTGTTGGGATCTAGCCTAAATCCTCTCCCACAACCTAAGAAACACTGCTATTTTTATAACCTTTTCAATGTCTCCAAAGGCTCCTTCCTGTCCATGACTCCAGTGTCTGGGTTAACAGTTGTTAAAATACACCTGCAAAGACACACAGTGCAAAATCAGTAACAGCTTCTTATCATAAACCTCTTTGCATCTGTATAAACTAAAGGTCTCAAAGATTTACCTGCCACAACACACGGTCCCTTTCATCTCCACATCACCAATAAGAATATCCTCCCAGGTGTCCTGAGGGAAGGTAAACATTGGGCACAGGTTAGACACGCCCACACGCAATCACTTTTCCAGGAGCGGCACAATCATTCATAAAGCTGCATCATTTGAGATGCTCACCTTTACTTGTACCTTCAAAATATGCAGTTATATTACAGTACTATTTTAATGAAAATTTTATGGTCACTGCATTTATCCCATTTCAGGGTATTTATCCCAATTCAGGACCAACTAATATCTGAAAAGAACGATACACAAATAATGAATCTCGTTCTGCAATGTGCCCTTCTCTGAAGCACTGAACCTAAACCAATTTTATTCTTACTGTGTGGGTGATAATCTGATCTGTGGCCTCTGGCAAGTCACCATTTTTACAGAAAGGAAATTTTCAGTGGAAGTAACTTTTCGCTTCTCATCTACAAAGGTTCCTATTGCAATCCCTCTTGGGAGACAGACATCTATTCCCACTTCAGGACCTTTTTAGATTCAAGAAATTATCAGATCTATCCAGAGGAAATTTTTTTTAAAAATGGCAACATGACATAAAAACACGTAAATGCCACCATTACCAGTTCATTTCATCACCTGATACCTTCCTAAATAGTGTTTTTTTGAACTACCAGAACATTGTCAGAGATGCAGTGATGGACTGCAGTATTGCAAGGGTTAGTTCTACTCTTGTGCCAGAGGCTATTTAAAAAATATGACACTGACAATTTACAAATTGTTCATTTGTATCATTAACTGATCGATTACAGAATGCACAGCTTTGCCTACTTTACACCTAAAGACAAACTTTCAGTGGCAAGCCTGTCATTTAAACACATTTATTTTATCCTTTGCTAAGCTAAATAATAGTTCACAGACCTGACTCCTCCCTCAGTGTTTCATGTGCACTGATGTGAGCAGAAGTTTTATCTCTCCGGAATTCAGTTGTAAAAGTCACAGAATAGCAGCTTTCCTCTCCTTCAGAGCACCACCACACAAGGAAACTGAGCTACAAAGAAACATAACCAAGTCTTCAAAAGACATTTAAGACAGTAATTTTACCTCCTCAAAAGCGCTGCAATCTGCCACAAGAATATTTGGCCTGAAGTTCTGTATCTTAGCTTTCTTTTCCAGCCTTGTATTTAAATCATCCATTGAAGCTTCAGAGAGGAGCAAGACTGGGCTGCAGTCAGGATAGGCAACCTACACAAACAAACAAAAACAAATCCTAAGGTTGCTGTAAAAGCACAGGAGAAAAGTCATGGAATAGCAAAAGGACAGGTGTGTTGGAACCAGTGGCCACATATTAGCCTGTTAGGCTGCTCCACTGAGGTTTTCATTTTCCTGGAATTAGGTTAACAAGGGAAACAATATGCTCTTTCCTATTTCAGTAACCGTGGTGAGTTTCATTTGCTCAAATTGTAAAATTAAACTTCTCCCTACAGAATTAAACCAAAATTATATAAGCTACCACAACTCCTTACAAAGTAATACCATATGCATGTCCCAGATGCTTATTCCAGGTGTTACAGACAGAATCAAGCATTTCAGTTATGGTAAGTTATGAAAGATACTCAAGACATTTATAGACCTGCTGAACTGATCCAGTTGACTATAATGAACTAACCGGATTTTTCTAACTAATGAATCTGCCTTATCACAACACCAAGAGGGAGTTCCACATCCAGAACAGCAATACTCAATTACAGTTGTCCATTAGTCAGTCTAAATTTGCTTGACAGTGGAAGGGCTGCCATATTAGCAAACAAGGCCAAAGAAGAGTATTCAAAAAAACACACAAAAATCCTTAAAGTAGACTTACACAAGAAAAAGAAAAAAAAAAAAAAAAGATAATTTGTGGCAAGAATTTTAGTGTATAGCACTCCTGTCTTTCTTTTATATTGTTCTTCCTCCTATCCTTGTACATGCCTTTCAACCATCACATGACGACTGCTAAAATAATTACACAAAAAATTCTGCCCTTTTTTCATGCTAGGATTCCTGCATGTCACCCCTCCTAATCTCACATCCCTTTTGCTGAAACCTAGTCTTCTGTATTGATCTCAGTGGCCTTACATAACAAAAGCATATCTATAAGTCTGTAATTGAATATACCTTCTTCTCTTTGTGCAACAAGCAAGACGCTGATGCCATACAAATAATAACATCAGTAAGACAAGGTACTCACAGTTTTAATTTGTTTAAAAACCTTACACTCACCAAGGACAGTTCAAACCACCTTCACTTGAGAGAGTTGTTCAAACAAAAAGAAGGGCATCAGTGACTCAAATGACATGAGGATAATTGAGCACAACACCTCCTTCCCATACCTGCATTAAATTTCTCTAGTATCACACCTTCGAGCCTCTTCCCACAGAAAGAGATGAAACTTCTGTAACCTTCTTTGGATTTTAACTCCTAGGCCCACAACTATAAGGCTCTGGGTTAAGTATCATTCCTTTAAACAAAATATGAAGTAACAACTTGTATCAGTACACTCTCACACCTAACAAGGGATAGGGAATGGAGGCTTTCTATGCAACAGATATCACACCATGGAAACATCTTTAAAACTATAACTTTTTTTCTATTCACTGAGACACAAAAGGTTCCTCCTCAAATATGAGTTTCAGACTCTTTAGCTGCAAATGGTCAACAGTTTAGAAGTAAAATTTAAGCAAGTCACCTCACCACAGAAAAAGAGAATACTCACATGGTTCAAGTACATGATTACACACCTTGCTAAACTGGGCTCAGTCACCAATGGTGGAACAGGCAAGTTTTGGTGGGTGGGTGGGAAGTGGTTAAAAGGAAGTACTTCTGAGAAAAAGAACATTTATTTACCTCATCAGTGTTTCGGAAAAGGTTTATTGTATTCTTTGACTTTCTTGGCACCATGGAGGGCTCAAAGTGCACCAGTCGATAGGGCTGTGATTTCAGGAAAGTGGTGATCCACTGAGCCACTTCATCACCACAGTCCCTGCCTTGGATATCCTGTCCAAACACCCTGAAGAGTAACAACACATCAGCAAGTTAGCTGGAAAGATGAAGGCTCAATGATGCTTATTATTTGAAGGCAAACAACATGTTTTAATAGTAGTAGCAATATATAGAAAACAAATCCCCTGAATTATAACAAGCTGGAGGTTGGTTTCAAAAACTGGCACAAGGATCAATCCCAGTGTTCATTCTCCTTGTGGCCACCATGTTTTGGAAAGTTAAGTAACATGGACATGGCTGGACAACACCAGCTGGTGAAATAAGCCTTGAAATAGCCTTAAGGTGCCCAGAGCTGACTGTCACATCGATGACCAGTAACAAACCCACCTGTTTGCCAGGTCTACTCTTGCATTTCCATGTGACTGCAACACCAAAAGATTTCTACCAAGAAATCAACCGAAAGGTAATTAACTTCAGAAAATAAACAATAGTTTGAAAGGGCACAATTAGTTACCGTAACTGATGTACAAGTGTTATTTATTGTAAGTGTCCCTAATTGTGATGGAAACTTTCTTTCAAATTTTAGTGCTGTTAAAATTTAGCTAGAGTTGAGCAAAACTTAAGCTAAAACTTCACATATAAAATAGATCAGTATCTTACGAGAGGTTAAAAATTTATAATCGAAACAAAGTCCATGGCGCACAAAAGGCCAATGGCACCAGAATACAAACAAGTTTACACAAGGAACACTTTCCTGGCAAGAAAAGGCAGACCTCAACTCAACCTTTCAATAAACTTCAACAACAGTCATGAATAGTTTTGTTACATTCTTCAAAGAAGCCATTTTGACCCAAACACACTGCAGTTTCCTATACCTCTGCAATCATATCCTGGACAGCTTAAAGCACAGAGATGCCCACACAGTTCATCCAGAGTTAGCCCCTAGGAGCCCTCCTCTACTCATCGAGGGGAGAGATGAACCATTAGGGTGCCAGCAGCAATATCCCTGCTCCATTTGCTGGGATTCCTGTATCTACTCTGCAACACAGGCTGGGATTAAATGCCATTGCCCCAGACAGCAATCTTTCTTACAGTTTCCAACACCACTGTTTTCCAGTCACGAAGCAGATCTATCCTAAGCACTCAGTGGTTTAGGGATCCCATAGGAACGGATCATCCAACTGAAGTGTTACAGACATTGGGCACAAAGGAAGAGCACAAGGTTTCTTAATCAGAATGCTATAGAAACCCTCTAACATTTGCACAAACAGAAGATGTGCCTATGCACTGGCTTCAGGCTTGCATTTGACTCTCCCAAAGACAGGATTTTAATTATCCACATGAAATTTGCAGCTGGAGTTAGCAGATTTCAAGACTGGCATCTGCACAGCCCTATGCAGCTAGGGGCACTATTGCACTGCCTTGGCTCCAAACCATGGGGCACGAGCCAGCACCCATGTGAAGGCATCGTGCTGGCCCAGAGATGGAATACACACAAGTCTGTGCAGGGCCAGCAGAGCACACTGTGCAGCAAGATAGCTACTCACACTCACACGCTGGAAGGGAAGAATCTGGGAGCAAAACCCAAATCTTCATTTTTCTGAACACAGTATTACTCCCAAACCTCATTCTTACAGATGGATCGGAAAGAGTCAGCCTTGAGCTGACAAATGGCAAATTGTTTAAGCACAGCAAGAGTCATACAAACCCTTAGGATCCTTCCTGAGAAGTACAAGGCAATGTTCCAGCTATGGGTGTTGCTAATTTCACATCCTATGACACCACCTACAATGCCAGACAACTTCGTAAGTCTTAAAGTCCGTTTACATGCATTTCACTTTTGATCATTTGGATTCTTAAATTCTAGCAGTTTTAAAGGCAGAGTGTGCAGGTTTATTAAGACAAAGAAAGAAAAAAAATCAGAAGAACAAATCATCAAGCTCTAAAATTGGAAAATCCAAGATAATTTTTCATTACTGAAATCTATTAGGCTATTTAAATACTTTTCTAACGGCACAACAAAGTTTAGAAAAATAACACCTTGAAAACTGCATGGTTTTGCAGTGCATGTGCCATTGGCACATATAGGCAATGTACACACCTTTTTAAAAGACTGTTCCATTTCTCTACCATTTGTAACTTGCGCCTGCCTTGTATAAACAGAGATACTGAACTTTGCTGATCAAGGGTTTCCACAGCAACAGATTTATGCTAAAAGCAAGCAAATGCAGCTCCTTGTCAGCACTTTTAGTTTTAATTACAGCAGCTGGTGCATTAACCGTCTCCGCTATCCAAAGGACAAACACTGACCAGTATCTTTGTAGGGGCTAACACCATTTACAGTTATGAAATACTCTTACATATTAATTGACACTGTAGCAGAGAAAAGATTTTCCAGCTACCCCAGGTAGTTTTCCAGCATGGATTCCAATACACAGATAAAACAATTAGGCTTGGAATCATACAACAAAACTCCAAGCACACAGCTAAATCACTCTTTGTAACCCATCCACCTGAAACTCCTTTGAGGTAGCAACTACAGAGAATGCCTTGGTCTCCAGGGATGCCTGTCTTTCCTGTGACCACAGGGTGAGCCTTGGGCAACCAAGTTTTTAAAAGAGGTACCTTAGTTAAATCCCTACAGACAGGGGTGAGGGAATCTAAACTCCGACATCTCACCAGCTCTGAATGGCCAGTACGCATCCAAAAATGCTGATACAGATTTTAGCTGTGATCAAGAAATACCAAAGGGCATGACTGAGGCTCTGAGATGCAACTGCTCACCCAAGCATAAGCGAAAACACTAGAAGTAAAAAGAAATGAGCAAACATAAAATTCTATGAAGATGCAAGATCACAGTTCATTTGGCTAATGTATAATGCATGGTCTTTGATACTGTGTCATCATTTCCTAAGACTTGTTTTCACTAGTGTTTAGCAGATTAAAACCAAATCAATCCTGGCCTCCTGTGTAACACACAGGAGAGAATTTCACAGAATCACAGAACAGTTTGGATTAGAAGGAACCTTTAAAGATCACCTAGGACAACCTCCTTGACATGGACAAGGACAACTCCCACTAGACCTGGTTGCTCAGAGCCACATCTAGCCTGGGCTTGAACACTGCCAGGGATGGGGCAGCCACATTTTCTCTGGACAACATGTTCCAGTGCCTCACTAGCCTCACTGCAAAAAACATCTTCCTTTTATCTAATCTAAATCTACTCTCTTTTATTTCATCACCACTACCCCTTATCTTGTCAGTACAGGCCCCGGTCTGAAGTCTCTCTCCATTATCCAGATGGCGAGACACACCCCCACAGAAAGATGCAAAAGCACCCAACTTTCCCCCTCCAATTTCTGCATTAGAAAATGCAAAGCCTCACACAATCTTGAAAAGCAAAGTATATGAGAAAGACTGTATTTAGAGAGAGGGGAGGGGGCCAAAAATACCTTTTTCAGTACCTGCAGTTGTGGACGGGGTTTTTCCTGGGGACATTCACAGGCAAGCACAGCTTCTCCATGTCTGGGGCCTCGAAGGTCAAGTGCCCGTCGTCACAGCCGACAGAAACGAGGACGAGCCGCGGCTCCTGGCGAGCCGTGACCATGTGCCCATCCTCCGTGATCACCAGCCAGAACCTGCGGCGGGCCGGGGGACAGAAAGGCGTCCGACGGCGTTAATGGCGGGCACGGCAGCACCCGCGGAGCAGCAGGTGCCTCTCCCCAGGTCCCGAGGAAAGCACCGGACAAACAGGGAACCCGGCGCCCCGTCCCGCCGTACCTGTCCCGCATGTCCCCGCTGCGCAGCCCCATGGGCGTCACCTGCGCCCGCCGCACCGACACCCCCTTGCACGACTTCACCGGGTACACGAAGAGCCTCAGCACCGTCCCGACCCGCTGCAGGCGGCGGCGGCGGCGCCGCCCGGCCCAGCGCCAGGCTCCGAGCAGGGCGCCCAGCGCCAGCAGCGCCGCCGCCCCCCACACCCAGCCCGGCCGGGCCGCCCCCAGGGAGCCCCGCAGGCCGCTCATGGCGACTGGGCCTCGCCGCGGCCCCGCCGCGACCGAAAGAGCTGTGGGCGGAGCGGCCCCGGAGGGGCTCCCGCACCGCCCCCTGCCACCGCCCCCGGCCCCGCCTGGCGTGACGGGGCTGGCACCGGCCCCGCGCTGAGGGGGAGCGGGGCCGCGACCTTCGCTGAGGGAAGGCGCGGAAAATAAAGGGCTGAGCGTCCGGCTCGGCAAAGCGCCGGCAGTGGATGCGTTTCTTCTGATATCCGGGCTTTTATTAGAAGCGGTGCCACAGGAAAAGTGCGGGCTGTGTGGAAAAGCACGGAGCGCGTCAAATTGGCGCGTTTGGTTTGACTCGGAGAAGCGCGGAACGGGTGGAGGGATGGAGGCGAGGAACTGGTGCGACGAGCAGCCTAATGTGGTGGGCACCTGATGTGGAAAGGATGTCCCGAGGCGTTCAGCTGCTTTGGGATATATTTGGGATATATTCACCACTGTCCCAGCTGCTTGGTACTAAACTCGTGAGACCCTTTCCAATAGCTTTCCTCCTGTTGGCAGGGTCCCAGGGAAGTGATTTTGTGGGATACCCAGCTACAAGGCAAATACAACATAAAATACAGGCTGGAGTGGAGAACGCTGCTGTCACCACGTGCCTCTCCTCATAGGCAAAGCAAGAGCCTTGGCTGCTGTTTTACCCCAGCTCCCTCATTCAGGCTTGCCAGGATCTGGAGACCAAACTCCCAAATTGAAATCAGTGTGCTGAGACTAAAGCCCTAGCAGGCGGAAAGTGGGGAAGCTTCGTGCTGGGCATTTCTGAAAGATGCAGACAGCTCAGCCATCCTGCATTTACGTACTACATCAAGAGTATCTTGGTGGACAGGAATCTTAGAGATGTGGCTGTCATGGGCCTCTCTGACAACAGGGGTGTGTGGGCAGCTAAGCCAGGAGTGCTCCTCGCAGCCGTCTTTTCTCAAGAAGTGGGCTTGATCATAGGCCAGGATCAGAAAATATTCCTGCTAAATAGAATCACTGTAGCTAGCAAAAAGTTATTTGTGACAACCTGCTGGTGGATGAAGACAAAGTGATGAATGTCAGAAGCAAAGGGAGTGACAGTAGATCTATATCTATTGGCAAGACCCCCAAAAACCCTGATCTTCCCTATGGGCAAGAAGGGAGTTCACAGAGGAGTCCTCAATTAAAAGGACCAGGATATGACTGTGGACATGAAAGCATGACACAAAAAGTGCCAAAGAATCAGACATCTGCCTGAGCATGGAGAAGGGAAATCAATCTACTTTTGTTGTAGATGTCTTTGCTTGCTTCTTTCAGATGAGGGGTACTGGGCAGGTAGCAGTGCTGAGACACTAACAGCCCACCTGACCATCTGTGGTACAGAAGAGAGTAGCATGTACGTTCCTCATCAGGATGCTCAGTGTTACTTGAGTGATTTCCCAGCCATCTTGGGTGGTTGCTCCCTGTTATTTGCATTCTACTGACTGATCTTGGTGTGAAGGTCTCTAGTAACATTAGCTTTGGGAAAAGGGAGGAGGGAGGGCAATCCCTTTGCCCTCTTGTTCACTACTTTGCAGTTTAAATCATGCCCTAATGCCAGTTATGGGTTTTGAGACCTTTCTCCGTCTCAGGTAGACCATGACATTAAGGATAAGCAAGACTTGTGTTTATTTTGAATTTATTTCTGGAGCAAGCCCAGTTTATTCTGGAGATTAACTATTGATCAGCAGAGCCTTGTGCTGTCTGTTGGACTGGGCAGGGGGGGCATGTGCAGAGACAGTCTGCCACCTGCTTACCTTCCACGTCACTTGAAACCCCTTCTTATGCTACTTTACTGAGAGAATTTTTTTTATTTTTTTTTTTTAATGAGACAAGTCACCTGTCTTGCATCTGTGGCATGAGAATCTTCTGAGGGTTGCTTCCTTTCTATCCTGCTCAGTCGCACTGCCTGGCCTCGAGATCACAGGTCCCTGTAAGCTCTCCAGGGCCCCCCAAGAGGATGTGGGGTTCTGTCAAACACTGCAGATTTCCCCTCCATTCGCCAGTACAGCCTTCCCCTCCTGCTCCCTCTTGTATCCCTAAAAGGACAGTCTGAAATGAGACAGAACTGGTGCACATTTATGGACTACGTATTGGTCAGTTAACAAGTATGTTGCAATCTGGTTCTTGAAGAGTTTGAATAGTTTGAAAAATGTGTAGCTATGTGATAAAAAGTTCTGTGCATTCCCCTCACCCTGTAGTCTGTATATCCCTCTGCCAAGTATGATAAATTGTAGCAATCACGTGTAATAAAAGTTTTTTTGGAATTCAGCTGGACGAGCTAAAGCAGAGCTACACTGCGTCCTTGTAGTATCTTTTAGGTGTCATAATTTACTACTTACTTGCTTTATCTGGGTGCTAGAGAAAATAGACCTGATGTGTATACATACTTTACCAGCATAAAGTAGGGAGGAGTAGGGACCTGCATAGCTGTGAGAAGCTACAGCTTCTCTGTAGTTACACACTACCATAGGATCATAGAACATGCTGAGTTGGAAGTAACCCGTCAGGATCATCAAGTCCAACTCCTGGCCCTGCACAGGACACCCCAAGAATCACACTTGATGCCTGGGAGCATTGTCCAAACGCTTCTTGAACTCTGTCAGGCTTGGTGCTGTGATCACTTCCCTGGGGAGCCTGTTCTAGTGCCCAACCCCCTTTGGATGAAAAATCTTTTCCTGTTGCATAACCTAAAGCTCCCCTGACCCAGCTTCATACTGTTTCCTCAAGTCCTGTCACTGGTCACAAGAGTGAAGAAGAGCTCTGTACCTACCCCTCCACTTCCCCTTGTGAGGATATTGAAGACTGTAATGAGGCAGCACAGTGGTGTACAAAACCAGATTCTTTTAGTTTGAAGGACTTGTTAACTAAATTCAGAAATAACTCACCTTTGCCAACAATTGGATATTACTTAAAAGAAAAAAAATATTTCTAAATCCAAGAAGGACCTTAAACTTTAATTTCCTAGACTGACTGACCTGGAGTCTGAGGAGATTTTGTCCAGACCAGCCCCAAATAGCTGCTGTTGCATTCAGCCCTAAATCTTGGAGAATATGGTGAGGAGCTTAAAGAAATAACAGAAGGCAGCAACGTCTGTGTAATCTCTTGTTTCTTGCTGTGATACAAGGAAAATAAAATCAGAAATAGCTCCAGAGAGCATGGTTGTGGTTAAACATTTCAGGTCTCAGACTGCAGGTGTTGAGAAAAGCCCTCTTCACTCATGCACCAGGCACCTCTCCAACAGCCTCCAGTAAATAGCTTGACCAACAGGTTTGTTTAATCCTCCATCCCAGGCATTCCTGTGCTTGCCTAGGAGCCACCAGCTCCTTCTGCTGTTAAGCAATGTGAATTGAGCCACTCTGACAAAGTGTAGGTACTGGTTTTGTTGCAATACAAATACAGCATCTAGTGCAATGGAATTGTATTTGTCGTAGCCAGAGCAGGCATGGTATTCCTGCACTTAAAAGGAAATGACTGTGTTTTCAATTCCTTCTAACTTCATCAAACTTCAGGACAGTTGTGCTGAAATTCCCTGCACCAAGTTCTTGCCTTAGTTTCCTTGAAAGGTGTCTGATCAGATGAAGGATTCACAGTGTCAGTCTTGCAGCAAACCGAGGCGAGGCTCCCTCAGTCATGAAAATGAGCAATGATGACCTATCTTGAAAAGGTATTGTGTTAACTCAGAAGCACAGAACAAATTTTCAGGTGGAATAAATTTTACAGAAAAAGTAATGACACATCTGCCTGAAGGGTGATTCGAGATAATTCTTCCACAGGCAAACCTAGACTCCCTTGTAGCAGCGGCTCAATCAGATGTCTAAGAGGAATGAGGAGGAAAGAGGTGGAGAATTTTACTTGTTTCCATTAAAAAAAAAGACAAGTGACTGGGGATCTTCTAGGTTTTCAATATGCACACAGCGCTGTACTTTGGAAAGGCATTATGTGCTGCACTGAAGTGTAGGTTTGGATGGACATTATGGAAAAATCCACAGTGACAAAAAAAGCAAAATGCTGGCCTCAATTAGGTGACAGAGTGTTAGGATGGAGCTAAATGTAGGCTGGACTTGTCTCGGTGAAGGAATTAAATGCCCGTGCCATGGATATGGCAGTTATTTTTTCAATGACTCTCTGATAATTCAGCAAAAGGCAGGGCTGAGGGGATGACATGCCATGTATACGATCATAGGATGATTTCAACAAGATATGATAAAAGTCAGATTACACCCACACACAGACAAATTATATCCTTTTTCCAAAGTTATAAAAAACAATAAATTCAAAAGATTCCTTCACAAAGAGGAGAGGAGGATAAAAGCATTGCCATTTCCTCTTAAAATCTTGAAGGAAATCAGAGTTCAGTGAGTCATGCACTAGAAATGAGCTCAGTGAAATTCATGTATGGAAAAAACCTCAGGCGAGTAATTGACAATGATAGAGTTATAAATAGAATCATTAATGATAAATGCCATTTAATGGAGACAGAGCAGTGAGATAAAAGGATCTTTTTTTATTATGAGGTTTTTCCTATACAGAGAATTGTACATACCTAAAACCCAGACAGGCTGATAGGCTACTTTGGTCACTGTCCAGCCAATAAGAAGATGAATTGAACATTCATCTTTTTCTTCCAGTCAAATGCCAAGCTTCAGTCTGCCCGAATGCACCAGGGCAATACAGAAGTGAACGTTCCGGGCAAATGTTTGGCCCAGTATTAACTAGCACAGGCTAATGACATTTGAAGTTCTCCCATGTTCTGTAAATGCTATTGTCCAGGTGAATAAAGTATCCATCAGGTAGCTTTAGGGGTCCAAATAGTCAGGGTAGAGCTGCATGTCATCTGGGAGAGCAGGCAAGGACCAAAGGAGAGGCTTTACTGGGGAGCAGGGCATTTGTTCCGCAGCACAAGGACTAACATTCTTCTGCAGCTGTGGTGTAGAGGGACGGATGGGATTCACCAAGGACAGGAAAGTCTCCTCTCTAATTCAGGC